ATAATAATAATAATAATAATAATAATAATAATATATATACTTATATATATATATATATATATATATATATATATATATATATATATATATATAATAATGAACAACGATATATAATATATTATACATAAGATATGATATAATGATATAAATGATATAATAATATTATAATATATATATAATATATATACTATATATACATATAGACACACACACACACACACACACACACATATATATATATATGTGGGTGCGTGCTAAAACAAATCTGGCACGTACCTGTGGATGGTATATAAACGATGTGAATCGTACACTCGGCCTCCTCTGCGGGTAGGTATCAGGCATCTTCATATCGAATCTGAATATGCCATCGATATACGGGCCTTTTGTGGGGAACACCACACCGTGCCACACTGGACGTGCAACGAGTAGATGGATTGTTTGACTATAATTAGAATGAGAGTTCCACCTTGATAGATACGCTTACTAGCCGGCCGTATGTTCTGAGTAGACAGGTGTGTGGAATACTACCTGCAAGCATGCCATTTGCTATACATTGGAAACAACTCCTATTCACAGGTATATTGATAGACAAACTGTATGTCTAATTGATAGATGTTTATACGCAAGGAATCAGCGCATGCCACTCGTGTGCACGCATGAGATCTGCGCATATATATATATATATATATTCCGGCGTGGAAAGGCTCACGCAGATACTCTGAGTTCCTCAAACCAAAAGGAGCCATCGAGTGATCAGACATAACGTACACGTATAGCGTATATTATATATATCGAGCACCCCAGAAACATCAGCAAGTAATCAAATATATCTTCACACACATCTGTATCCGTTCGAATGCTATTTAATGCGTAACCTCATACAGTCACACACAACGATCTAGCACGCATTGGATTCATTTTCATTACGTTTTCTACGAAGGGGTTGTTCTACAAAGTGACCACACACACACACACACACACACACACACACACACACACACACATATATATATATATTAACGACTGGTGTGTAGAGACCAACAGAACGAAGTGGAAATACGTTGATCGTCAAACACCTACACACACCGCTGCATCCGGTGGTACGTTTACTATGCAACCACATACAGTCGCACCCTATAGCCGCACACGGACAATTATATCCTTGCTTGCGATAGGGGCCTGTTTCTGTAGGTACATACGTGGGTTTTTTTCCAGAACGGGTGTCTGGCAGCAGGCAGAATAAGGTTGAAACATATTGAAATACGTGTGTTGAAACCCTGCTACTAACTGTATCTTATACGAAGCTATACTACAAGCTCACCTGACCAACTCAAGGTACACAGGTTTTGCAAACATATCATGAATACGTACGTAACGCATTCTCTATATGAAACCTATGAGACATTGCATATACCAACGTGCACATATACATATATTGCATACATATGGGTTTCGACAGAGTCTATCTCGATATAAATATATAGGGTTAGGAGCCGTTTGCCTACGACCAAATATAGCTGCAAAAAAACCCCACTCACACCACCTTCCTGTATAACCACAGAGAAACCAGGAACACTTTTCACATCGCATTGCACACACTTAATACAAATGTACTACAACGTGATACTTACGCAGATCAAACTCTGTGGACGGATGCACATACAGACCCCTTCCTATTTGTGATGAGAGTGCCGCGCTGTACAGAAGGATATCACATAAGTCATTGTTACAAATGAGATTTATAATATTCATGATCAGTGTTTCAGATGGTAATCGGGATCTGACGAAGCCGAATATTTGATTGACACGCATGTGTGAGTGTGTTGACATACATGAGAGGATGTTTTGGGTGAAACAAGAGATTCTTTGCTACCCATGCAAGTACGGGTGCTTAAATAAACTGCACGTCTCATAGCGGTTTATGAAATGCTACGCAGCACTCCCAAATCTCCAATAATGTTGATATGCATCACTGCTTATATCATTGGTGGCTATTTTTGTTGATATGTATCACTGATTATATCATTGGTGGCTATTTTTGTTGATATACATCACTGCTTGTATCATTGGTGGCTATTTTTGTTGATATACATCACTGCTTATATCATTAATGGCTATTTTTGTTGATATACATCACTGCTAATAAGGTGGCTATTTTTGTTGTGCGCAGAACTTGCGTATTCGATTGCTATCAATGGACGTTCATTGCATCGTATAGGCTATAGCATATCCTTAGTCTAAACTGTAATTGTTAAACATATCACAGTGCTACAGCTACCATCGCAGTACCGAACTGCAGATCTTTGGCGTATATCTCTCAGAGGAAGACATGCACAGCCTAGCAGTCGGTGAGTTCCGCTCGACTCGGTCTACGACTGTATTTTACATAGCAATACTTCTTACTGGCGATTTAATACCACAAGCCAAACTACGCTTTGGAAACAAGTTCACTCTTGTTAAATGACTCAGATTTTGCGTATTGGTCTGCTGTAGATGAATCTAAGTGAGTGTCGGGCCATACAGCACAATCACATGCACTACTCAAAATAAAATCTCAAATCTATCTTTGTCCATATGATTTTGATAACACCAATTGATTGGACTCTCGGAGAGACCTTTCACACATCGCTAGAGAGCCCGTTTCCAAACTGAGTAGTTGATCACCCCCCACTACTTCAACACTCCAACAGCACCCAATCATTGAACTCAGCCAACTACTATATCACAAATAAACATACAGATCTTGAGCGTAAACCTTCCGTAAGAATATCTTGCGCAAACCAACAGCTCTTAGTGATTTCTCCACGCGAGGCTGCAGCTTTGGTATGATCCCTTCGCCCGTGTGGTAAATTTGATCGCCATATACTCGCTTCTCGGTCTCGTCCTGAACCGTGATTGCATAACTCAACATAAGTATCTTCGACTAGGAATGTTTTAGCGACTATAGATGTGCGCACACGGCTAAAAATGATATGCGATGAATATCCTAGTAGACTGATATACAATGCTTATGTATATATATATAAATAT